CGCAGCGAGGGGCTCGCAGGACCAGGGCAGTGTTCGCGAGTGTGTTGGGCGCGGGCCAGGGCTTAATTTACTCGTCTCTCCACGGGATGTTGCGCAAACGCCGAGCCGAGCCGAGCCTACCAGGCCAGGTCCCCCGAACGCCCCGCCACGCCCCGCCACGCCCCGCCACGCCCATTAAGCGCGCGTTACCCCTTGTGTCGTGCCGTGACGCGACGCGCGGGGGCCTCGTCAAGCGGAGGGAGGGGCGTCGCGTCGGAGGCGCGAGGGAGAGAGCTCCGGAGCGAGAGAGAGGGCGGTGACAGTCGTTCCTTGGAAAATAGTGGGGCTGCGAGGTTCAGACTCGTCGCTGAGCTCTACCGAAATCTGCGTAAGGGAAGATAGGACACGAGACACGAAGAACAAGAGAGGGCGCACATCCACTACTACGGCATGCTCCACCAACACCAACATGTAGAAAGTTCCAAAACCACTCGACAGATGTAAAGACAGAGAAAATTTGAGAGACGAATTCGTGCGTACTCCGAGAGAGAAAGAGTGGCACAGCGCCCACACAGAGTAGCTGAGAGGCTAAGCGCCGCTAGATGTCGAGTTCAAGGAGTACGTGGTGTAGTGCGTTCCCTCCCCCAATAAGACCATGCTTGTCTACGTGCGTCTGTGCGTTAAGAGGGAGGAGAAGAGGTCATCGTGCACGTGCAAGAGAAAGTGGTGGGTCAGGGGCGTGCACGTGAAGGGCTCCTCACTCACACGATGAAGCGCTCGCATTCGGAGCACTTGGGCGTCTCGGGGGCGACGGGCAGGCCGCTCACGTCGGGGCTGGACGGCGCGAAGCTGCTGCTGGGGACCGGGGAGGGGGCGGAGGGGGCGGCGCCAGGGGCGGGCGAGCCGGGGGCGAGGTGTGACGGTGTGAGGGGCCGGGGGGCGGCGCCGGGGGCGGGGGAGCAGGCGCGGCCCCCCACCGCGTGGCTGTGCGTCGCGAAGTACGTCGTGGAGGCGGGCCGCTCTGTGGACAAGACCCCTCCGGTTCACCAGCACGCCGACGACACTACTCATGGCGCCCTGCTCAATGTGTTCCCCGGGGTGTAGCCCGGCGCGCGCTAGCCTCTCAGTCATGCACGCGGCCACATGGTGGTCACCGTAACCACCAGTCCCTCCCAGCCGGGAGGGTCGCCCTCGCGCTCCAGGCGCTGCAAGCGGGGCTACCAGCTGCGGGCGTTGTCGTCACTCCGTTCGGGTGTCGTTTATCCCACGGACTTTTACTTATTTTCGCGAATAGGATAAGAAAAAACACTAGTATTCGTGATTATTTAACATTCTGAAAGTGAGAACAAGCGGAGCACCTCGAGCAGCTCGTACTTACGGGAGGACCTTGTTTGAAACAGTGAACACCCGAGCTGGAACCGAACCGAAAGCATGAGAGATCTGGCGGCACACGCTCGGGACGGGGCACACATTGTGCTCGGCGCACCCATGAGGCAGCGAGAGGGGGAAGGACGGCGAAACGTTTTGAGGAGAGAACAAAGGTCGAAAAATAGTCTTGTCATTTCCCCTCTCGTGACATATGGGAGAGGGCTGGGAAAGGGTTAACACCGAGCAGGGCAGATGATGGTGATGGTGATGATGATGATGACATGAAGCGGAACTGTACAGCGGCCATGGTGGTGAACGCCTCCCCGCTAGCTACGAAAGGGTGACAGGTGCTTGGTTAGCCTGCACAACATCAACAGCAAAAATAAAACACCAATGAAAAGAATACTCCACTGGCATTAAAGTGACACGACAGCAGCGCAGAACAAACAATAATACAGCTCTGGAATATAATTTTCGCCGGTGCGTCAGTAAAATGCAGTAGTGAGCGATGCGATGCGGTGACCCGGGGCTTGCTAGGGCTGGCGGGCGGTGCGCTGCGGTGCGTGGCGGGGAGAGGGTGAGGTGTCCCGCCGCTGCCAGCGACCCCGCGCGCCCGCCGCGGAACAGCACTACACCCATATCATACAGCTGGCGGGTGCGGCGGGGTGCAGCGGGGCGGGGCGGGGCGGCCGCCCGCTCTACTTACACGATGAGGCGCTCACAGTCCGCACAGATATTCTGGCCGGGGGGCAGCACCTTGAAGGGGTCCTGGGCCGGGGCGCTGCCGGGCGCCTTGGGCTCGGGCGCCTGGACGTGGCGCAGGCCGTGCACGCCGAAGGGCGTCGGCACGCCGCCGGGCACGGGCGTGGGCAGGCTGCCGCTGATCACCTGTGGGTCTACGCCACCATACTTTCACGGGGATTGCCCGGGGGGGCTACTCGACCCCCCACTGCGGGTCCTCCTGGCTCCGGCTGGTTGCGCTTCAGCAGGCGAGGTTTTAAAAGCAAGAGCCGGGGGTGGGCAGCCCCTCCCCCCATTCTCTCTCTTTACAGTAACTGGATTTGTGTCTTTGATTTGTAAGAATTTAAGCAATCACATTTCTTGCACACATTTCTGCATTTTTACGAAATTATTTACTTTTGCACACAAAGGTGTACGAAACGAAACATTGATAAAGCTAACATAGCTAAACATAACTTTAGCATAAACGTTTGCAGCAAACAATTACATATAGCTTGTCCCTATTCCTTGCTAAGCTTTCCTGAACTCGAAAGCCTGACAGTAAAGTTTTTTAAGAGAAGCCCTGGAGCACAACCCACCTTATTCCCGTCAGCCGTACTTAAAACCGCGCCTGCTTTTCATTCCATGCACCGTGAAGCATGCGTCTGTCCTGGAGGACTATGGGGCGGGCCATGCCCTGACATGAGGTCGTCCAGAAAGTAAGTCCGTTTTCTCACAGATTCTTTAGGTAAATGACGGCATCTCAGCGCCTGCGAAACTCGAGGTAGGCCACCCGGCAGTACAACCGTGTACTGCAGGTGAGATGTTGCCTACCCACCAGGCGCTACGAGAGCTTGCATAGGATGAGCTTGACAGTTTCGTGACGGCAAATGACGAACGTACTTCCTACACGATCCCTCTGGATTAAGGTGGAGGGGTGACATTATGGGGAAATAAAGTCTGGAGTCAGAATGGTGTCGACACGACAGGCGTGACATCAAAACATGGCCGTCATTTCAAGTACATTACTGTTTGTCAACTCTGAACAAACTGTCCAAAGGTCGTTGTGACACCGTTTCGACTTTTCCACCACTTCTTCGCCGGCCGTTCTTACCTGGCTCCGGGATGCGTGGCTCCTTGTCGGCCTCCTGGACCATCTTGAGCACCTCACTGTTGGCGGAGTTGTACTCCTTCTCGTTCTTCTTGAAGTTGACCCTGGTGGGGGGCGCAAAGAGAACGAGGGCCGTTACGCATCGTCGTTTAAGTGCCACATGGATTAACTGTTGTGAGGAGGGATGCTCTGCGGCGGCGTGTGCGGCGGGGACCTGTTGATGTATGATCTCATTGGCGAGCTGCCATTCATCGACATGCCGGCCGCTGGTAGCGTCATCCGGTGGTGGCGTGGCGGCGCGCGGCGGCTGTCACTGCAGCCTGGCGGAGCTGGCGGAGCTGGCGGAGCTGGCGGAGCCACCACCGGCACGCCTCCCCGCCCGCCCTCTGAGTCACTCGCACGACAATCGAGGAGCAGGCGGGTGCAGGCGGGTGCAGGCGGTGCGCGAGTGCAGCGCAGAGTGGCGGTGTGGCCCGCGCCGATTGGCCGGCTGCCATACGCCAGCAATGAGGACAGGTCGTCGAGTCACTCCGCGCGCCGCGCAGCAGCGCCACCCCCAACGACGCCGCCGACGACGTGTCGCCGACCGACGTCCTCTTATCCCTTACCCGATTGCGCCCCCGGTGAGCACCTCGGCCTGGGCGGACAGCGTCTCGGCGATGGCCTGCTCGCTGTAGATGCCGATCGGGCTGTTGAACTGCTTGTTGACGATCTGCTTGTCCGGCCCGCCGTTCATCTGCGCAGCACCAACAACGTTATCAGCCCGGCGACCGGCGCCCCTGTGGCAGGACAGCGTGGATGAGAATCAGGGGGACGGTACTCACGTGCGGGATGGTGCCGAACGGCTTGGCCGAGGTGTTGTGGCCGGTGCCGATGGGCTGCGGCGCGGGGCCCTTGTAGGCGAGGGAGGTCTTGGTGACGGGGCCGCCAGCGTTGGGCTTGACCGGGCTGGGCCCGACCGGGGCGACGGCCGGCTTCCACGTGCTCATGCCGATGCCGCCCCTGGAGCCGGTTGGAAACATGACGATGACAAATTTGCGCGAAAGCGAGAAGGGCTTCCTCGCTGCGGCGGCCCGGACGGTGGGGGAGAGAGTGAGGATCGCGCTAGCGGCCGGCGCGGAGGGCGGGGGG